ATCTGCGAATCTTGGGACGCTTTGAAAAAAGTTCGTATTAATTTTTCTTAATGTACTACCCACGTACATAACATTTCACATACAAGTTACTAAATTCCTCTGTTGGCCAAGCATTTTTCCTGTAAGAAATCTGTAATGTTTGCATAGCATGGACAGTTAAATATGCATACTTATTCTTGAGTTAGAATAGGCCTCCAATCTTGAGGGGAAATTACATATGGAATAGATAAGAGCAGCTTCGAAGCAGCAATAGAAACATATCTATAACCCTTTTAAAATGGCTTAATAAAGACAATTTTTAGTATTATACCGTTTTTGGAAGTTGAATACACTCTTTGTTTAATGTTAAATTATCGCACATTATAGGTAATGTTATAATAGTTATTATTAACATTATTATAATAAGTATTATTAACATTATTATAATAAGTATTATTAACATTATTATAATAAGTATTATAAGCATATTTGTGATATTTATTATAAGCATCTTTATAATAGTTATTATAAACGTTGATATAATAGTTGGGATGATAAAAGACGCAACAGAAAAATAAAGTACAGCATTCTTACTGAACATCAAAATCATAGCAAACCTCATAGGGAACCACGTACCTCTGTGAAATACAGGTACACATTATTCTTCTCCACTTCGAAACGCTTTATCTCAGATGATTCATTGAGAACAAGCTAGAGACAAAATAGCAATTTATAAGAACTGGATTAATTTAGAAGTATCTAAAGAATAACAGAGTTAAACTGATAGAACTTTTCCTTGTAGCAATGTAAAAGATATTAGAAATTATCCTAACCTTTTTTATTTTTGAATTATAGTCTTTCATTAAATAGGTACAATATGTGTCAAAATACTTTTATTTTGCACATGTACCATTAAAACCTTGAAATTACGTTAATAAACAATACAAATGAAGGAATTTTAACGACGTGTGCAGGTTGTCTTTAGTTATAATTCAAACAATTGGTTGCCAATATATTCTCATAACTTTAAATTTTCATAATTACTTGAAAATATCTTGATTTCTGCTGGGTTGAAGTGTTTTTTCAGTTGTAGTGTTTTAGGAAATATCATCCATTAGCAACAGCCTATAGCATTAGTATATCATCCAATAAGAACAGTATCTAGAATACGTCTAAAATTATCATTCAATAAAAACAGTCTATAGCATTTAGCTGTTCCTTTTTTTAATTCACACAAGTTTTTATCGGTTGTACAAAATAAAACCCTTTCTTGTTTTGTTCAAAATGTTTTATCCGGTTTACCTGATATCAACAGGAGAGATATAAGATTTCATCTAATGATAAACCAGGTGAAACGTTGTGAACAATATAAACAAAAGTTTTACTATGAACAACCGAAGAAAAACTTATATGAAGTCTATAGCACTTGTACAAGAACTATTATCAAATAGTTAAAGCCTATATTCCAAGTATACGAAATAGCATCTAATATAAACAACCAATAGCACCAATATTCGAAATACCGTCTAATGGAACATCCTATAGCAAAGTTTATCATTTCTTGGCAAGGTTGGATGCAGTTATTGCTACACATAAATCTCGATCGTGCCTTTAGTGTTATTTCAGCACTGAAATAAAAATGGAATATCACACTAGATTTTCAATCTATATTTAATCTAAACTCCAAGTCTGTTTCGTCTACAATGTATCGTACATCATTTAAGGGCTCCATTATACCACACCTCTCTTACTTGCCTAATTTCTAACTCACTTAAAACAGTCTTTTTTACCTCGTAATGTATTTCAAATTCTGTCACATTTCACATACGGACATTTAAAACTGATAGGCCCAGGTAACAAAATTTGAATCCGATTAAGTTATTCTGATCGATACAATTAAGCATGCACTGAATGCCTAACCCATTTTATTTTTGTATTTTAGGCAGGTTTACTTCTTCTTCTATGTTTTCACTTTAAACAGTAACGACCAATGAATGGGAGATAGGGCATCAGTTGTAGTAAGTTTAAACACCTAAGTCCTTTTACGCTTACCATTACTCTAAGTAAAAATCTTTCCATAAGGATATGAAGTAGTTTGTTGAAAGTCTTTGATAAATTGTTTAGGCAGAGTATTCGTGATCAAACTTAGTTGAATGGACGGTAACTGGCTGTTGTAGAAACAAAGTGTAGTCCTCTACACTTGTTTTTGTACAATCGGCAGTTTCCGCCCTTTCAACTAAGTTTCATTAAGTTTGTTGCACTTTAAAAGCTTTAGATGACTTTAAAGTATCATGCATATATATTTTAATAATGATTTTGTTCTTGGTAACTACGAACAGAAATCAATTTTAAAAACACCACATCCACCTATAAATTTATTCAAAATAACTAATGCATTCAAACTTTTTTACAGTAATTTACCTTTTGTAAAGATGTCTTTTCTGGAGTATAACCAGAAACCATATTAATATCGACGACAGACATCCCGGGAGTTTCTAAAGATTGTGGTTGTCTGCAAAAATAAAGAAACTTGTGGCAAAGAGAGAGGGAAAGATATCAAATACATTTTCATCAAATCGACAATTGAAATGGGTTACTGTTTAAGAATCAATCTCTTTTGTGTTTTAATACCAGGGATTATTTGACTTATTCGGAACTTTTTAATTGTTAAACTTACCTGACACAAAAGTGTATAGTACTTTCTTTGCAGTCAGAGGTGGAGTTTGAACCACTGATGGTAAAGTCTTCGCTGTCAAATGTACTGGAGTTCGGAATGTTGTATTTCAGCGTAACCTAGATGTATACAGCCAATTAATGTTGCTTTAATAACACTACTAAGGTAAAGCAGATTTAACAACATGATTTCTGTTTACATTTGATACAGTTGTTAAATGATGAACAGAATATTATTTCATTTAGATAACTGACATACAACAAAGACAGAAGTAAGCATAACTATCTACTTTAAAACATATTCTTCAAACCTAAACATGTGTGATAAAGATTTGAAATCATCTGATAATGAATATCCGCCAGTACGTTTATTGTACGACAAGCCTACCAAAAATATAGCTATGAAGAGCAATTAATGTTATTTATTCATTTAAAGTTATAAGTAGTCGCCCGAAGTATCATACGGTAGGTTTTGTAAGTGTATAAACTCAGTTACTGTCTACTTTTAATAACTTACACATTTGTGCTTTATTAGTTTACTCCCATATGTAGAATTTCTTTGTAGTGACACAAACTGAAAAATTAACTGCTTGAAACATGTATGTAGAGAGTTATTGATGCTTACATTCAGAGTTGATATAGCAGACAAATGAATCATTTCATTGAGGAAATTATTCATGACTGTTTCTGAATTTAGTGCTTATATAGTTTAATGCAAGTATTCATAATACGAACTACAATATAATTTATACAAGTCTTAGAAACGTCGACAAGGTAATACATTTGGCTGAATAACACGTAATCAGTACAGCAAAAGAGCTTTGTAAGAGCAAATGATATATAATTGGAAACTTAGAATAGCAAATTAACTTAGATTACGGTGTTTAAGTCCCGACAATAGTTTCCTCAAAAGACGAATTTTGATATTGAACGAATGATCCTCCCAACAAGTTGAAATGCTGGTGCTACATTTTCTATAGTTTGCAATATATGTACACTTGTAATATTGCTATAAAGAACACAATATTTTAAATGTAACCGATACGAAGTTGCGTTTTTATCTCTCTAAGGATACGGTTGTTGGACTTCACGCCCTTTCATTGTACGCTATGTTTGTTGAATCTGGTCCCACGAATATTCAACTTAACGTAGAAAACGCGGAGATGAAAATGAATTTCTCAGTGAACGATGACAACAGACTTGTCTTACAGAAGATGGCGGTAAAGGAGATTCCCACTGTTCTGAAAGTGACTGCAGAAGGCCAAGGGTGTGTTCTTATCCAGGTTAGTTTACTAACTATTCAAGGCATAATAATTAAGTATGAAGAAACTTCACTTTGTTACTGAGTACATAATTATTCTTAATAAGTTTCTTACATCCGTTGAAAACTAAACATTTCTGAACCATTTAAATAAAGCGCTGTATAGTTGAAAAATTCTACGTTTCCAAATGGCACTCTGCTATATCGAACACCAGACGTCTAATGTTCTTGTATCTTATTAAAAGTTTCATCTATCATTACAATTGTGGACGATTTTTATAGCTGGGAACTGCGCAACCACAAATGTCTTTGTGTTGTCAAGTCTGTTTGAAAATTGTGAAACGTATTATGAGACGAAAGAATAATAAAACTTTAATTATAACGTCTTGAGAAGAGCGCAGCATCACATGTATACTTGTTGAAACCACAAACTAGTACTAGTTATAATAGCGGAAACCGTGATAGATAGAATGAGACTACAATATTTGACCTAAAAAGGTAAGCAATACAACCAATTAATATTTTATGGCTCTTGCATAGATTGGTTTTATATTTGCTAAAAGAAATTAAGAGTTTTAAAAAATAATTCCTGAAATCCGAAGGACACACCTCTTTAAAGAGACGACTATAGATCCAAGTTTAAATGTTGCATCTTCAAGTTCACTTTAACTATACAAACCTGGGTTGACATAAATCCTCCTTGAGAATTGATTTGCGATGTTAGCCAAAGAACAATAGGTTGGGCGTTTCCCACAGCATCCTGTCCTTTTGATGTCATTAAGGCTAACAAAGCGTAACTTGCAATTTCAATGTCCATAGAGTTAGGCTTAGAATCCTTGTCGGTCTTCCAAAATTTCATGTGACCTTAGAAGTAAGCAAACACACGTCAAAATTCAGTGAAATTTCACATAATATTGCTTACATTATACTCTGTATTATCTATAAAGATTTAATTGGTAATGATAAGTGCAAGTAATTGGACTATCTGGCGTGAAGAGACGTGTTGACATTCACAAAGACTTCATAAAGTAAAACACCTAAATAGACTTTCTTATTTGTTTTTCAACATCATCAGGTGATCCAACTTTAAGATCCTAACGTGTCTGAATCTGAGAAAAATATTGCCAAGGTTCATTTATCTGTTATATTTAAGTTATAACATGTGTAAAATTGTATTTTAAGATCCCGATTTTTGTTTCTCCTATAAATTACCGAGCATATTTTATGCACTAATGAGTTCAATAACATAAGATATTTCATATAAAGAAAATAAGAACAATGTAATTTTGTTATGATAACTTAGTGACCACGGTTAAGAAATATATTTTCTAACCTATTCTTAATCGGATGTCTCTTTATTGATTTTTATCGGAAGTTAGTTTACTTTTACGATGGTATCTTCTGATAAATAACTTTTAAATGGTTTTACTTGTATATTTTTGTAATTGATACTATAGGAGTAAGGAGGATAAAAAGATCATATTTCTTATTGTTCATGAGGAAAGCATGCTTTAGAAAAGTTTGTTTGTTTGATATGAATTTCTTGCAAATCTACATGAGGGCTATCTGAGCTAGCCGTCCCTAATTTAGCAGTGATAGACTAGAGGGAAGGTAGCTAGTCATAACTCCCCACTGCCAACTCTTGGGCTACTCTTTTAAAAACTAAAAGTGAGATTGACTGTCACATTATAACGCCCCACGGCTGAAAGTGCGAGCATGTTTGGTGGGATAGGGATTCGAACCCGCGACCCGTAGATTGCAAGTCGAGCGCCCTAAATTCCTGGCCATGTCGAGCCCCTTAAAAAAGTATCTTATGTTTACCAACCTCTAATTTCGGCTCTTTCTTCGAGCTGCTCCAAGTACTCATTCTGTGGTAAGTTTGCCAAAGAAACAGCATAAGCCATCAAAGCTAGAAGGTAGGTAGGGTAAGATTCAATGCTTCTTATACATGAGAAGCCAGACAAGATGACAGGATCGTTCGTAGAGTATCCATATTCCAATAAAGAAGTCAAAACATAAGCTGTCAGGGCTTGATCACTGCCTTCAACTCCACCCTGTATAAGTATTTAAAAAGCGTCCTTCTTATCAATCAGAATTGTGTGATATTTAGAAATAAAAATTTAGTTTTTTATACTAATATCGTTTATAAAAATCACTACATTTGAATCGGCAGTATTGGTACGTTTGGTTTAGGTGAAACATACCAACTTTAGCTTACATTTATATTTAATTATTTCCTTTCTAAAAAATACACAAACTTGAGTAACAAGTCGTAGGTAAAACATTTTTGTTATGAAATGTCTAAAATTGGTGTTTGTTTACTTATAAAAATTTCTCCAGATCAAATCTTACAGTAAAAAATAATTCTATATGAATTGGAAGAATGGTATCAATAAGGTATATAACAAGGAAAACTGTAAACATGGGTGGTTTAGAATTTTCAGTTAAAAATGTTGATTTTGTTGGGTACATTTCCTTACTATTTTTTCAAGTCTTCTACGATGTTTCAAGTGAACTTTTTTAAAATTCGACTTTTATTAAACTGTTGAATTCCAGCAAATATTGTTTATTTTATGTAATATATTGAAGTTAAGGTATTGTAATAAACGCCATTTATCGCTTTGTACATGAATTAACAAATCTCATTTTGCTTTATTTAACTGGTGCAGAAGATGATGTGATTTTAATACAACAATAAAATCCTGACATTGTATATTGTTCCAAAAGATTGAGCGCACTCCATAACTAAAGGTAATTCTCGAAGTATATACTTTAATGTTTGTTTGTTTTAGATTATAGCAACTTAGGGTATCTGTTGTGTCCATTGCGGGTAATCGAACCCAGATTTTAATCGATGTAAGTCCACAAATTTACTGCTTTCCTACCGGGGGATTGCATCTTAACGAAATTACACTAATAAAGAAAATATGATTAGCTAAATGTACTTAAAGATTTAAATACTCACTACTTTTACAGCTCAGAGAATCTGTGTATTATTGCAGATATAGAACATGTAGTTAGAATAGTTAAATTTACAGAACACGTTGGTTAACAAACATTTTGATGCATTGTAAATACAGTCACAATTGACGTCTCTTAAAATAAGCTCTGAGAAAAAGGAAAAATTAACCTTCATAGCTTGATGTATCACATTTCCTACTGAATGAAAGCAGCCATCCTCTCGTCTCTGTTTGACGATCCAATTATACGTTTTCTCCAAGTCCGTATCATCGATAGTGATAAATTTCTTTGCTTGATAAAAGGATTTAGCTACAAAAGCCGTCAACCAAAGACTACCTTCTTTGTCTCTTTCACCAAATGCACTATAAGAACCGTCTTGGTGACGATATTTCAGTTCTCTCTGATAGCCTGATAAAAATAGAAAAAATATGCACAAACCCATTTCCTTACATTTTCAGGGACCACAACACAACGAAACAGTTCTGAACAGATAAGTTCATTCAAGCCTGCGATTACAAAGCATGCAATAAAAATAAAATTATTGAAAGAAAATAAAGTAGAAAACAAATTATATTTTTTAACATGATATAACGAACGTTAGTTAATCAAAGTAAAGTATTTCATTAATTGATAGTTGTTAAACGAAGATCATGAATAATATATTTTAAAAACTAAATGACTCGCACTTTGGAGGGGCTTTTTATCCACATATAAAAATGTGTTCGAATTAATTAACAGCAAATGGAGATACCAATTAGAATAATAAGAATTTGGCTACTCGGCATCTAATGTATTTCATGTAAGGGACCACATACTTAGTAAAGACCTTTCACTAAGAACAAGTGTCATTTATGAGGAAGTTAACATGTAAATGTAAGTGTCCTAAATGCGCTTTGTGTGCGACTCTGCGGGTCTTCTTGTGATGGTTTGTCCCCAAATACAAAGTTACATCGTAAACGTAGGGGTAAGCAATTACAAGTGAAGCACCGATTGCACTACGAGCAAAAATAGTAGGAAAACGTAATGGTTTTGATGAGAATGAGTTTGAATTTCAGGAATGTATTGATACTAATGAAGATAAATACGATGTTGATGATGGTGTGATTGAATCTTCGATTTCGAGCGATGCTGATGAAGTTCAGGATGACCTTGATGTCAGTGCTGTTCTTGTTTCTAGGAAATGGCATTGAAGCCATAAAATGAAAGCTTCAATCGATGCCACTGATGCTGTTGATACTCCATATTATCTTGGTTTAGATTCCAGCTCAGCTAATAATCTACCTGGTATCCCGATAGGTTGGACCTACCATCGAAAATTGAAATTCGTCAACGTGTCACTGCCATAGTAGCGCAGTACAAGAAGCATGGGTTAATTGAGACTGTCCACAGGGGCGTTCAGATTTCATTTATAAATCTTTGGGAAATTTAGCTGTTTAAACAGACTTCATAATTACACCTATAGCAGTTTTGGCAAAATTCACCATCAATCATATGGGCTACAAGGAAATTGCCACTTATCCAACTGTTGCTAAGGGTAAGTCGTTCGTGTCTTAATTGAACAGCAAGCATAAAAAGCAAAACAATAGGAGAGTGCAAAGCACCAATCAAGATTAAACTCTTGGTTAAGTCTCTTATCTTTGTTTACTACCAGGTTTCGTATTGTTTGGTAATGCATTAAATCGCTTGTCTTTCGTCATTTTTTCTAAACTCAAAATCAAACACACGGGATTATTTGCCTTGACTAGTTAAAGCCTACAAATGCCACTTTGAACATTTTCGCGTTTAAACTTTACAAGCCGTCCTCTAGCTACTACTAAAGAACGCTGTCCTGACTCGTGATGGGTGTGTGTTAAAAGATCAGTAGGAGTATATTAACTAGCTTAAAGCTACTTGGCAATGCTTTATGGAAAATAAAGTGATCACACTTGAACCTTTAGGTCTTTGACCTGCTCGTTTAGCCAATATATCGTGTACGCACCGTTCAGATCAAAAATACAAACTAACTTTTCGATAGGAAATACTACAGATGGGTAATCCTTTTACGAGTCGTTTCTCCCCTTTTCTTAGGGCAATTTCCTTCTAGTAGTACGTAGTTTTGTAATTTAAAACTTCGATAGACCATAAAACCGAAATGACATCCAGTTTGAATATTCTCATTATTTCATGATTTAGAAAGGTTTTAATTCATTGTAATTTTCTCTTTGACAAAAATTCGAAAAAGCTCTGAAGATGGTTCGTTATTAAACACAATAGGCTATATGTGCTGTGACCACCACGGGTATCGAAACCGGGATTTTAGCGTTGTAAGCCTTCAAACTTACAACTGAACCATTGGGGACAGCTGTGAAGTAAAATGTTATTTTTTCCATGATTATAGCAGCAGACAACGTCAGTGGTGAAAAATAGAAAATGCCTACTTACTCCCAAAATATTCTAAATAATTATAACTTCATAAATTGTGATGGATATTTACCGAGCATTTTCGAATCTTCTACAACATATGAAACAAAATTAGACAAATTAACTGAAAACAATACAAAGGGTAGTTAAAATTGATATAATAGAAAGATAATTATTAGGTCAACATTTCGGTAAAATGATCTTCATATGGACCCATCTGATTAATTTGGATCAGAATAGTGGCCATATAGCTCTTTAAAATTATTTTAACTTTGTTTTTATATTTTCAGATATTAAAACACCGTTGCTGTTTTCGTTTTTAGACACGACTCATTTAACACGTTAACTTTGACCTCTTTTATAGCTCACCAGTTTGCATGAAATTTATGGTTTTAGTTTTCAGGTCATCAGTAACACGATTAGTTGATGTGAGATAGTTCAAAACGAAGATGTTAGGCGCGAAAAGGATCATGTTTTGTTCTCCACATCCAACAGGTAAACGCACAAGACTTTCTAGTCCGTTAAGAGCTGGGCCCATGAGGTCCCCTGTAAAAAACAAACAAAACTGAATGTGCTATGAATACTGCATAACTTAAACTTGTTAGTTAATAAATAAAAAAAAAACGTGTTACCGTAAACTTGCGGTTAGCTAAAGCTGAATGAAAATAATTTTCCAAGTATTTTAGATATATTGATGTATAAGATAAGATTTATACAAAATAGTGAAGAAAGAATTGTTCTTTATTAAAAATGTATGTTTAGAAAATATTAGGTTTGGTATAAAGTTCAAAATATAAAATGACTCTTTGTTTGCAGAAAACAAATCAATTTAACGATACTGTTTTCCTTCATTAGATATAAAGTTGAAAAATGAATAAAATTTTAAAGTGCGTTCATTAGTGATGTCTCTAAGTATAATGATTTTGCAAGGAACTCGACACTACAAAACATAGAAAAAAACATTGAAAAACAATCTAATAAGTATAGAATATAACATGTGAATGATGTTTTAAGAATTTATTAAAACTATAAAATCGCCTTATAAAACAAAGATAGTTACATCGTGTAACTACAAAGAATAGAAACAAAAATTTAAAACAAAGATGTGTAAAGATTGGAATTAGGTTAATAATTTAAAGCTTCAAATTTTACATAAATAGCTGACAGTTGTTTATCAAAGGGATAGAGCAAAACTTATACTAATTACTGATAGAAACATTATTAAAGATTCGTTAAGGACCGAATATAAGTGGGTTGAAATTGACGATAAGAATCGACATATTAAATTGGTAGCACAGTAATTATTTCTTTTTATATACTCAGTTTCAATTATTGTTTCTAAAACGGTTAGTCTTGTTGAATTACTGTAATCTGATAGAATCAGGGTAATCTGATAGAAGAAAAGGACAGATCTGAGCGTATCTGAATGTCATGCGCTTGTAAATGAATTTAAGCTAAGGTATGCTATTCATGGAATATTCAACATGCATTATTTTTAGAAAGTGTTTACCAACAGAGGTGAAACTAATCCATGTAACGAGTTTTCAGGAAGAGAATTTATAACTAAGTTTCTCGTTTCTTTACTGGACGATGCTTATTAAAGAGCATTATCAAATCTACAGCAGTAGAGCTGAAGAGGTGATGATGTTGGGAGTGAGGAGTAAGCTCCTGATTGCTTGATTACTGTCATATTTTATATATATGTGGAATCTGTGATTAGGTGATTTCACATATTCAACATTCATTGATTAATAATGGCTGGAGACGGCTTCATCATGACAAAACCTTGTCGAAACGTTGTACATTTGCTGTTATATTAAAGTTTTTCTTCATTACCCATTTAAGCTGTCTCCAGCCATTATTAGTCTCAAAGTGGGTTCCTCGTCATCGAATTCATTGATTAAAGTTAAAAAGTTACCACACAGCTTGGTGATATTAAGCTAGAATAAGTATAAAAAGAGAAAAAACTTGTACAAATGTTATTACGTTTTATGTTAAGACCAAGTTCTGACGTTGTATCAGAACCCGTATCCATACTAACCAGAGAGATATTTTATCTAACAAAGCAACCAACTACATGATCTCGTTGGAATCCTCATTTAATTTTGGGTAATGATTCAATGTTTAACGATAGAAGAACTTTGTTATAGAAGATAGAAATATAGCAAATCAACTCACCAGATACAGCAACAAATGCACGCGCTGATTGGTGTACCACGTTGCTTGGTGGTTTTAATTCAAAGTTTTCCATATACTGTTGAGTTTGAAGCTCTGTGGCGTGTAAAGATAAAAAAGCAGTCAGTTAAGTTGGGAATGGTTAAATTAATTATGATTTTCTTTTCGAAATATTATTAACGAAAGTAAACGATTTATAACATTAGCTCCAAAAATCCCAGCTGTGTACGGCACAAAATCTGAAATAAACATTTATCATCAAATAAGTAGCTAAAATATTTTGCCTATACGAACAACCATCAGATTCTGTGTTATCACAATATCCATAACATTGGTTAATTCAGTGGCGTAGCTTGTTTTTTTTTATACGTATATAGCACTAAGATGTTTTTGTTATTTACCTTTCAGACAAGCATACGTTGTTTTGGTTTCTTCTTTAGGAAAACCTTCTGCCTGTAAGAAAAAAGGTTATTCTAATTCAAAAATATGGAAAATTTGAAAATTAAATCATAATTAAAAAAGCAAGAAACACTTTAGGATCTTAGAAATAGACAGAAAATTTACAATTTAAGAGACCAATAAACCGAGTGATTTCGGAAAGATTTGTTGTTCGGAAAACGCTCGGAGTATCGTCTAACGTATGGGTCAAAGACAGTAAACTATGATTTTTGTGACTATTAGATAGAACTTATTAAAACAGGATTGTGTTGTTTTACAGAAACTTACAAACCAAAAATTTCAAAGAATTCTATATGAATCACCTGTATCAAACTTTTCTTGAAAAAAAAAAAAACTTAAATATTGCTAATGTCTAATGAAAATTGTAATACCATATTTTTGTAATGTTCATTCACATATTTTTGTTAATTAAACAAGTATTCATTTGTACACAAGTGGTGAACATCTTCAGCACCGATAAAACAAAAAAAGATTTATACAAAAAAGGCAAATCTTGTATAGAAAGAAAAGATTTCGATTCCCATAAAAACTACATTTGTTGTTGTCATATTGTAACACAAAATTTTATTATAAGAGTTAAGTAATTTAGAATGCTTCCAGTCTATGAATGGAAATTCTTAAGGTAAAATTTTAATAGATTATTAGATAAATTTACCTCGACCAGTAAATGTCGTGTTATGGCATCCGCAGCTTTGAGAGATGTTGTAATTTTGTTCTCACAGAGGTCGTTGTTATCTATGTTCTGGGCTCCAACGGTAAGATTGACAAGTCCCAGAGTTTTCGCTCGAATTTTGAAAGGATATGTGTAGCTGTCTTTTCCACAGACACAGAACTCTTTCTCTGTGGAGGCGCCAATAATCATAAAATCTTGGCTGTCATCAAGAGATATTCTAACCTTTAGAAAATCACAAGAATTAATACGTAGTGTCTTATGTTTAATTCTCTATCAATCATCTTTGCAAGTAAAATATTTCTCTAAATCAAAATGTTCTAATTCATTTGTTATTAACCAACAGAATATCCTCATATTTCATACTCACAAATCATTATTCTAAGAGTTTAATCTCTTCTGTGTATGTTCAAACTGTAGAGGTAATGTTAATTATAGAATACAACTGATTTGTTGCAGATTATAGTTATAACTTTTATATATCTTTGAAGTCCTAGTATAGCGAAAATGTATCTTTTCTAACATTTAAACAATAATTTACTCTGATACTGAAGCTATTTTCGTATATTTTACTTAAATAAAATTAAGTGCTCTAATTCTGAAAATGGTCATCGCAGGTTGGTTTTACAGTTTGGTGGAGCATTTTTACTTTTACAGAACACATCTTATTTTTATATTCTTCAACTCTGTATATTAATCCACGAGCAAAATATAATATTAATTTATGTTAATATTCGCTGTCCTTTGAAAAACTGATAACGGTGTAATTTTGTTCGGTGATAATGTTCGCGATGTTCCATTCACAATTTCTTGGAACAACAAAGATGTTTGTTATCTAAATTTATAGTTTGTTTGAAATGAAACAAAAAGCTATACCAGGGGTTATCTGTGCCCTGACCACTACTGGTATCGAAAACCAGTTTCTATCGTTGTAACTGTGCCATTGGGGGCTAAATTGAAAGTCAAAAGGTTCACAATAAAGCTTGGTTGCTATCTAATTTGAAATTTCGAAAAACAAGAAATATCTGATCAATTTTTTTGGTCAGATTGAATACTTGCATCGCTTACAAACTTTTGGAGAAACTTAATAAAAAAATTAAGTATAAGAAAATTTTAATAGCAGCAAAGGATGACGAAATATTGTAGTGAGTTATTTAAACCCTAAAAGAAAGATGTAACGGTGAGCTAAATACGTGAGCTTACAGCCATATTCTTCATATTAACAGCTTGTAATTGTATTTTTATGTTTGACCTGCCCCAATATTCGAATGTGTTCCCCTTTAAATATACCCCCCAGTGGCACAGCGGTATGTCTGCGGACTTACAACGCTAGAAACCGCATTGTGTAGTTTTGTGCATAACTAAAAACAATCACTTTACATATTTCTCTTGAGATCCACATCACGGATTTCGTACCCTCATATTTTGAAGCGTTGAAAAACTTAAAAAAACTCTTAGAAGCAATGCAGTTAGAAGATATATAATACATGAAACGTATTTTTTACCCAAAATCAGATTTATGACCTCAAAGTTTTAATTGCTATGGTTTTTCGGCGCTAAACTTTTACACAACATAAACCATAATTTTCGCAGCTTTGTTTATTTTGTTTTAATTCGAATGTACAACTAAACAGACACTTGATTTATGAACAAACATAAAAAAAATTGCACTGCCCGGCATGACCAGATGGTTATGGAGGTCGACTCGAAATCTACGTGTCGCGGATTCGAATCCCCGTCCCACCAAACATGCTCGTCCTTTCACCCGTGAGGGTGTTATAGTATGACGGTCAATTCCACTCTTCGTTGGTAAAAGAGTAGCCCAAGAGTTGGCGGTGGGTGGTGATGACTAGCTGCCTTCCGTCTAGTCTTACACTGCTAAATTAGGGACGGCTAGCGCAGATAGCCCTCGTGTAGCTTTGCACGAAATTTAAAAGAAACAAACAAACTTCTTACATTACTGCCCTCACGTGAGCCAGCGGGAAATTGCGGACCTACAAGGCTAAAATTCGGCATTTAGTCATCCCCTAGCTGGGATAGCAGCTTTGCACTAAAAGAAACCAGAACCGGAAGTGTTTGTTTGTTTATTTGAAGATAAGCACAAAGCTACATTATGGGCTATCTGAGCACTGACCACCACGAGTATCGAAACCCGGTTTCTAGCGTTGTAAATCCGCAGACATACCGCTGTACCACATGGGGGCATGAAGGAAGAAAAAATTATCATGGTGTTAGTCTTTATTATAAACATCCAAATTCACTTCAACTAAATATTTTTTTTTCTATGCTGCAGTGGGACAGCGGTAGTTATGGACTCACAATGCTAAAATCAGTAGTTCGATTTTTCAGGATAGACAAAATGCAGATAGCTCATTTTATAGCCTTACGCTAAAACAACAAGACTTATAAATTATTGACTTTCAAATGTTTAACAACACTATATATATATATATGTATGTATATATACATATTTACACACACAATGATAAACGAGATATAGAATTAACTTTACTTACACTTTACACTAATATTTCACATCTTGTTAAATAAAACTTGTTTGTTAATTACTGGCATGGATTATAATTGACAATATTTTTGTGACACCAACGCAACCTGCTTAATATACAAAACTCAATTCATTTTAAATTTATACACTACTATTAATTATTCATGCAAATATAATGAACTCACAGGTATACATTCTGATAAGTAGTTGAAAATGGTAACAGCCAGTTGGGCTATCTCCCCTCGAATAATGGAGTAAGGTATGGTGAAGGAAAGGAAGAACGGCTGGAAACCAACGACACTGGTTATGTTGCTGACCCCTAATCCTCTGTTTCGATCCATGCAAACAGCGTTACCAATCCATTCTGTTATAGTATGAGGAAGGTGACGCTTGAAAATCGTTTGCCCATCCTCTCTAGAAAACAGACAAATACATAATAAACATTTAATAACACCTATTCATAAGTTTTATAGGATTGAAAGACAATGACACTTTTTCAAATATCATATTTAACACCTCCAAGATATTCTAACTTCGGTTTCAAGATAAGACAGTTGAGCTGTTGATGCAGATTGATTTTTCATTCCCGTTTGCTTAATCTGTACATAAACTACTGCTATGGTGTTTTACAATAGATTACAACCTTAAACCTAGAGATGATTGTTCCTATACTTGAATAATTCTTACATTTATGTATCTTTAAAATATGAGAAACAGTAGGAACAAAACTACAGTTTTGGTCAACTGTTCTATGTTGATGTTATTGTCTATGTTCATGGAGTATTTATTGAGTAAATGTCTAATCAGTAATAGAGAAGGTGGCGTAAGATCGGAAAAACATGTACGAGTTGTTATTTTGGTCTGTGTAAGTTATTTAGAGCATTTGTTCGTCAAAATACACAAACACAACTGTTTTATATAAAAAAAGTGTGCTTTTGGTATAATATTTGTCGAAACAGATCAACGCTTTGTTCAAACAATTTCTCTGTACTTGATGTAGAGCCATGACTCGTCACGTGTCTGAAGTAACAGGTCGTCAGATTGTTCGACTCTCCAGAAATGGTAAGAAGCAAATGGACATTGCCAGAACAGTAGGGTACCCCCAGTGAACTGTATCCCGAATCCTGAAACTTCATCGAACTACATGAATAATTGTTTAAGGGAAATTTACTAGTAGACGCCAAAAAACTAATGCTCGAGGTGACTGTGTTTTGTTCAGGTTAATATGTCAAGATCGCATGAAGTCTTACAAACCCTTATGATAGGGATGGCATGAACACATTCTTTCCAGGTAATCTAGAAGAAAACAAGGTTATTTTGCAAGTATGGTTATCTGCAAACCGATATACTAACCAGAATTCACCTCCATCACCGTGTTAATTGGCCAACTTACAGTTAGGACATTGAAGACATATAATCTTTTCAGATCTTGTTTCCGGCTTGTTAAAACTGATGATAGGTCTTTCCAACAAGGAACACACAGGAGGTATTGCAGTAAATGTTAGGGAAGCTCTCTCAGGCGTCAAATGGAGACAATATTTCTCCCATATGCTAGGGCATGGTTTGGCAATAACTTTGTGATCCTTGATGAAAATGCCTCTGCTCCCAGTGCGCGTATTGAACAAGATTATCTCGACCAGGAGGAAGTTAACTATTGCCATGGCCGTGAACACATTCATTCCAGGATATCCAGAAGAACAGTGAGACGGAAAAGTAGGTTATTTTGCAGGAATGGTTATCTGCAAACTGATAATAACCAGAATTCACCTCCATCAACGTGTTACTTGGGCAAGACAACATGCCAACTTACAGTTAGAATACTGCGGACAAGTCACCTTTCCGACTTTTTAAAGCTAATGGTAGGATTCCTGATCGTCGTTTACCAGGAGAACAAGTGAGGGAAGATTAGATTTGCTAGGTATAGTCCAGAAAAGCTTTAATTGCACACAGTGTTTCACAACCCTTGGTCATGTCCCAAAGGAAATGACAGTGTGCCCGCCTTATATCCTCCCAACAACACTACCAGTTTTCCACACTGTCATTCACGACATTGCATGTGCTGGTGGCAAACCCACAACACCAATATAGTCATTACACGAGTGTCTGTTGTCTTATCGCCCCCAGTGACACAGCGGAATGTCTGCGAACGTACATCGCTAGAATCCGGGTTTCGATACCCGTGGTGGGCAGAGCACAGATAGCCCATTGTGTAGCTTTGTGCTTAATTACAAACAAACTGTTGTCTTATCAGCCTAAACACCGCATGCATAACAGAATACCAAGGACGCATATGCTAGACTTGTGGGCCGCATCGTGCATGTGATACATACTCAATCTGTTAGGAAAAGCAGTTGTAGGTAAGTAGCCTCTAGCCGCAAACAAGGGACAATTGTGGAACAGTAGGACGTCTGTTCTTTTTTAGGAAAGCCTTAGGGTGTTTCAGAAAGGTGGAAGGTTTGTTTATTTGTAATTAAGCATAAAGCTACACAATGGACTGTCTGTGCTCTGCCCACCACGGGTATTGAAACCAGGTTTCTAGTGGTGTAAGTCCGCAGACGTACCACTGTGCCACTGGGGAGCGAAGGTGGAGGGACTGGAGGGTGTTTACAAAATTTCTATTGGTGTACCAAGAAAGCTCCAGAATACTCTACCAAGTTCTTAAAATATTGATCGAATGTGGTTAGAACCGGTTTGGGCACACAAAAATTAGCTTAGCAATTGAGAGTAAAAACCACGAATATAATAAGAAAGTTTGTGTGCTAAACATTTTGAAATATTTTTTATCCTTACAAACCTATCTTATATAAATACGTACTAATATTTAATTTATAAAGCTTTAGATAATGATAAGAAACTGATGTAATTAAACAATATTGAAAAAAGATGTAGTCTAACAAAACTAAATTTCAACAGAAATAAAGAACTTTTTATTAAGTATGAGAGGATTCATTTAGAGCCATATTCATAAGTGACCATTTTATATATATTGCGAAAAGGTTTAACGCACATGGTAATCACGGGTTAAAAGAATAACGACACATCACTAAACTACCCCATTATAACGAAAGGGTCGAGGATTTGTTTGGATGACGCTATTTCGATAAATGAAAACCGAGTTAATAGTATAAAATATCTTAGTTATTTTTTAACACACTCGACAGTTCGGAGAGCAAGTGTCGCAAATGCCTTTGAACTTTAAGATCATCTCCAGTAGTACAAACTTCTAACTTTCTAAGCATTACATCTACTAACATTAGCTAGAACATTTGAAATATAGTGAATTTTAATATACGGAATAATACGTATATAATCAATGCACATACATGCTAGAGAAATTTCAAAATGACACAATTCATTCTAATCTATAAACATGTAAGAAAAATGTATCTAATTAGCTATATTTATTACTGGGTTGATTTTTTTTCTAAGGTGTTGCTTGTTATGGTTGAAAGTTAATATCAGAACATGAAACATATATATATATACATATATTCTAAATATATTACACAATCATCTGTATTATATCAAGGCGTACTAGCGATTATTCAGTGCTGCACAGTGCTGACGAAATTATTACATAAAATACATCATTTTTATTATAGATGTATGAGGCAACAAATGAATGACCGTGTCAGTATTACTGAAACATATATTTTTTGGCGCGTACATCTATAACAAAAAATGTTGTATTTATATATATATATATATATATGTATCCTTAAGATAATTTTTCGTATTACACCATTAAGAAGTTCATAAGTAAAGGTCATAACGCCCTTTCAGTTGTTAATCTACTGAAAATCCACCACCATAACTTTTGCTTAATAATATTTTAACGACTAAGGTTTTTTTTTACATTTGTTTATATTGTTATTCGTCCTTAAAATGTATTATGGTGACAGTTCAGTGAGAAAATTTACAGCCAAACAAATACAAACTCTTTTTAACCATTATTCAGTTTTTTTTTCCCACAAGGCTTTGAGTATACTTGTTTCAAGTATGAAAATAAGTATCACACGCTCAAAAATGAACAAAATCTAGATGCCATCAAAGAAGACAATATGGTGGGTTGTATCTAACTTTTGGAAATATATTTTTTAAGAAAGACATATCTTAACCAAATTTAAACGCCAAATGGAAAGTGAGCATCTTACCCAATAGCTTGTAATTCCCAAAGCCATGTTTCAGGAAAATAAGTTCGAATGTCTACCGATGCCAGAGTGCTTTTTGATGGTTCTACAGGCTTATGTGGCCTTTTGGTTGTTGTAGGTATACTTGTTGCATGGTTTGATAGATGAATTGAATCTTTATATGAAAAAAAAATAATAATTATATGATTTGTTAAGGAAATACAGAAGGTATGATTTTAAAACGAAAATGTGGGCATGGGGGATATCCTGCCTACGATAAATGATCTGAATAACACAGATACAAAACAGGACTGCTCGTACGGAAGTTCAAGTATGGGCCAGAATTTGGATGCTAGAACCCACAAGTCCCGAAACCCAATGCCACTCATGGTCCACAGACAGTTGTCGGTGTATTAGTTACCCTTATAACCATTAATAATGTAATTAAAAGATGTTATTTATGATGTCTTATAGGTTATAATAAAAAACAATTAAGGAGATAACAGAATATATTTGTTATTATTATGGTTGTGTTTATCGTTCATTTATTATTACTTCTATCATTTAGCTTATCTATTAATTTCTAGTTGCATTAAAACGCTAAACTCACTTTCTACATACTCATTTATATCTTGAGTAAATATATACGTGTGTATGGTAAAACTGACAGAGCTGTTTGTAACCTGCTTTAACCATGCATTTCCTCTACCTGTAACCTACCAGCTGACCAGATAAGTTGAAGAGAAAAAACTGTAGAAGTAAGTTCAACACATATTAGCAAACAGACAAAAGGATAAGGCATATACATATGTATTTGGATAGCTGCACAAGTAATGAAAAACACAAGTATGAAATAACAGGCAGGTGGACATCAACCTTCACCAAAAAACGTGCTTAATCTTTCTATAAGATAGCCACAAAGCATATGCATTGTACGACACATAAAGGAACAGACATAAATACAGACAAACAAACGGACATGAGACAGACAAATGATTCATATTAACTGTATTAATACTTTTGTAAGTTTGCTGAATTAACAAAAAGCATGAATATGGACTTGCAAACTACTAAACGAACAGAGAGGGAGCCAGAAAGGCATACGTCGGAGAAATATTTTTCATTTCTATCAAAACTTGATAGGTGCTCCCTACAAAAAATGATTATTATGACTTCAGAGAGACTCAAAAATGTTGGTTTTTAACACTCCGGTAACTGTAATCTTGAAATATTTCTTTAAGCCATGTAACTGTATTCAGCACTGTGTAACGATGAGAAATAAATAAAGAAAGGAAATCGTAACTGATATAAAAAAATATATATATCATTTTTTAAGAAAATACAAATGGTATACTTTTAAAAGGAAAATGTGTTCGCTGAGAATGTGTCGTCTATGAGAAATGATCCAAATAACACAGATACAAAATAAAACGGTTCACAAAGAAGCTCAAGTAGGAGCCAGGATTTAGATTTCAGAAGTCGCGAAACCCATTGCCACTCATAGCCCATAGCCAACTGTTGGTGTGGAAATTACTCCTAAAAACTATTAATAATGTCATTGAAAAGATCTTATTTATAAAGCCAAATAGGTGTTAATGAAAAATACCAAACCTTCACCCATAGACTAATATAACAAAATAAAAACTTCGTTGTTGTTGTTTTTCCCTTGACACTGTTATATGATATAAAGTTAGTTTTGATTCACATATATATGTGTGAGTGTTTGTATATAAGTTATATTTTTACGAGTTTTATCTATTTATTGTATTCTTTATACACCATGTTTTTGAATTTTTATCACTGTTTATTTTTATTATGCAAAATATCCCATAGATTACTTCCCGCATCCTGATATACCCATAGACCCGCTTTTCCCAATCAGCCAAGTAGCATCATTTGGTGAATTAGGATTTGCTTCATTTATTTACTCCTCATCGTTACACAGTGCTGAATCCAGTTAGGTGGTTTAAAGAAATATTTCAAGATTACTGTTACCGGAGTGTTAAAAGCACCAACATTTTGTGAGACTCTCTGAAGTCATAATAATCAATTTTAGATGTGGATCTACCGTGAAGAATGGTTATGAGCAGTAATATAAGGCATTTTTATAAAATATATCAGCTTGTATATATAACATTAAAACGTGACTATTTCTGTATTAGTTCAATGTAAATGCAGCCACAGGATGCAATACACTGACGTAAATAAATCACAGCTTTTCATAAAATGTTTATACAATTGTAAAAAACGTTCCCTGTCGTATGTATTTCTGGCTGTCCCTCAATTCGTTCATCATGCTTCTTCTTGTTAATTTAGCAAAATTACATAAGTAATATTACGATTAATGTGTATCACGTGTCTGTCTTATGTCCATCTGCTGGTTGGTATTTATGTCTTTACGTCTGTCAGTTCGTTTATATGTCACATAACGCATATGCTTTGTGGATATTTTCATTATTTGTGCAACTATCCAAATGCAGATGTATATGTGTCATCATTCTGTCTGGCCTCCCAGTAGCACAGCGGTATGTCTGCGGACTTACAACGCTAGAATCCGGGTTTCGATACCCGTGGTGGGCAGAGCACGTATAGCCCATTGTGTAGCTTTGTGCTTACTTAAAAACAAACAAACCTTTTGTCTGTTGTGTTATAGTTATTGTTACAGTTTCTCTCTTCAACTTAGCTAGTCAGCTGCAAGGTTACATGCATGATAAATTTATAGTTAAAGCAGGTTACAAACAATTCTACATATTTTGTTTTCAGATTACAATTGTAATGTGGCAGAATGAAAATAAACTGGAAAATTTGCCTAATATGTCAAAGACAAAAATTCCGAGTCACTAAAACGGCCATTAGACAGCAATCCTTTGGCCAGAAATAGGGGGTAATCTTATTATAATCGAGGCTACGTACCACCTACAACGCTTTGTACAGCTCAGATCTGATACGACACTCAACAGTAGATTATGGTATGTTCTTTATCAAATTGTTAGACCTGTATACGCTTTAGGTAAATCGTCTGCAACAACTTGGCATTAAGAAGATCATCAATAAGACCAGTCGGAAACAAAATTTGCTTGGACACTTACCATTGGGCAAAGAGTACTATGATGTGAGAAGCACATTCAAAGATGGGACAAGAAAAATGTAAAGAGGTGTATTAAAGAAACACGATTTTTATATATGTTAAGATTCTGGCTAAAGCTGCTAAAATCATCCGAGCAGAAATCTTTAACCAAGGTTCATTGACTGCTTCCCACCAGAATGTCAGGAAGACTTTATAACCAGCCTCAAATGACTCACCTCTATTCCCCTTCTAGGGAGACTGTTCCATCTGCAACTGTGGCAAAGCTGACTTAGCATCCACCTTTCTTTGCAGGTTCAAGAGTGTTAAGTAATTACAGAAGATAGTTGGGTGATTATTAGGTGACTGTTTTGAACAGTGATTCCTGAATATGAACATTGCATTGCAAAGGACTGTACTCTACAGTGGAATTTTTAATCAACACTGAGAGCCTATTTACAAGACATTAGTATGGTAATTTATTTCAAGTTCATATTTCTTTACAAATATTTCCTTATGATTACGGATGGATAATTTTAGATCAAAATAAATATAATATTTTTAAATTAGTGATGGATTAATGATAAGTAAAATACGTAATATTGGTATTTCTAGTCAGATGAAAATTTTAACCAAACGAAGATATCCAGACTGCCCCAAATAAGAAAAACAACAACAACAATACAATGGACTATTTGATTCCGCCTATGGATTACGATAGGTGGCTACTTCCCTGAAATTGATTATATGGATCCCAGAAACATTTTAGTCGTTTTATCAACCTGCAACATTAATTTCGCTAAACCACGTGACTAATATTTATTTATCATTAAACACTGTAGCAGAAAAGGTGAGGAAACAAATTTGCAGCCATAAAAATTCCCCGTTTAAAACATCTCTTTAAATCTATGAAAATTAACAATAACTATTTCACAGTATTGGATGAGCAAAACCAAAGTATATTGTACTTATAAAGCCGCCATCGCTATATACGTGCTTATGGAGTGAAACATTTTATCTACTTTGGCTCAGACTAACACAATTAGAGTGATTTACCAAAGTAGATATTTTTATTTTCAGTATCTCAGTTTTTGTAGTTTTTACTTACTTGTTTCAATACTTTTTTATAGCTTTAAAACTTTCTATATTACTATAGCTAGCTAGGTTACATATATAACAATCCTTATTTGCCTTTATAAAATTTATTAAAAATGGTAAATCGGATTTATCTATTTATATGTATAACTGTAGCGAAACCAACATCACAGATAGGACCAAATGCCCTATTGATTAATAAGCAAACATACTACAAACTCATTCTCTTGGTTGCGTTGATCGACCTTCCAGCTGACAAGAAATTACTGGATCCACAATTATCAAAAAAACTAATAATAGAAGTGGAATATTATAAAAATGACCCATTTGTTTAAATTGAACAATCAAATATAAACTGTAAAACACCATGTTTGAAGATTTCATGTTAATGATTTAGCTATGGTAAGTAACAGGGATTAAGATGGGATACAGACAGGAATTAGTTTCACTAACAGATGTACATGTGAGATGCACGGTGATAGGTTTATGAAAGTTTTTCCCGAAATATGCCAGTGGCAATATATTGAGTAAAAGTATATGAATATAAAATTATTCACGTTTATTGCATTTTAAGAAAAGTTTCTAGTAGTCATGGAATTTCACACATATACAAACGAAAGAAGATTAGATGGATACATACGGTATTCTCTTTTAAAGCACGGTCTTGTTTCCAAAGTCAAATCACTCAAAACTAGAGTGCCAGTATTCTAAAACGGAAAAAATAATAATATTAAATTACTTTATTTTTGGTGCGTTTTCGAGCTCAAATGTGCAGAAACAAAAGATGAATTTGTAGAACAATAGAACTTCACAATAAGAACGTGGAAGTAAATGACACACGTATCAATGTTTTTGAAACCTACAGTGAAACTATCTACTTCTTCGCAGTATATGTCCTGTAACTCAACAAACTGTTGTAAAAATTGATAAAAAACAAACAAATTCTGCCATCCGTACGCTATCCAAATTACTTTTGAAATTACCTGACAAATGCCATATAAAACTATAAACTTAATTCAATAAACGATCTAATAAATATGTAAATTTTAAAATTAAGTAATAGAGATGAAATGATTCATTTTTCATAACGTACACCAAAAGCTTTGATAGCGTCGTGATGGTATGTTTCATACGTGAACTGCCAAGGATGAATAGGTTGGTGAGTAGTTGAAAGTTCTTCAAATATAGACGGACGTGGTACTGAATCCCCCGCTGTAAATAAAAACAACACTTAGTTATTTGAAGTTAGCATGGCTAGAGAAATATATATTTCATGTTCCAATCGTGCCCTGTTAGTCTCTCAAAGAAAGAAAACTTTATAAACAAATACTTTCCGAAAGGTACATATTATAAAATTGATGTTCATATTTTCGGTTAAATAAATATCGATAGGTTTATCTTAAGATGCTAAAACATGTCCACTAATTAATCGAAACTTTAGTCGCTGATCTTAAGACTACAACTTAGAACAACTTAATACGTTTCAAAACTTACTGAGGACTATGAGTCAACAGACTTGCATGTTTTCTTAGCTACACTTCATTCTCAATTCTGCTTACAATTTTAAAATCATCTTACATAATCATAATATACCACAAATTTGCTGCTCAAAGGTTGACTCGTTAACCCGGTCACTAAACATTTGTTATCTAACCCTCGTTTAGGTCATTTTTATTACATTCTGTCTTAATGATGAAAATACATGGCCTTAAAAATACCTTTTAAAATACAAGTATGTAGTTTACATTAGTGAGACGTTAACTTTGTTCTGTATTATAGTATTTTAAAAGAACTATCCTCTGAACTGACTTATGTTGGTGCTGCTTACTACCCAAATCTTTCTAATGCCAAAGGCCTGAAGAGGGGATATAGAGGGTTGAGTACATTTAATTAAAATGACTTTGAATATATAAATCAGCAAGTCTTGTGACTAAAATAGCTGAAATAAAGTCGTAGTGAAACAGTATGAAAATCGCAGTTTGACATTTTGGCATTTTTTCGGCGTGACATAAGTTGCTCTTTCTTGTTTGTGGTTCGTAATTTTGCCTTAAAAACGTGGAAGGTTTTTCCCAGTGACTTGTCTGATCGTGGTTTCTTATCTGTTATAAGACACCGTACTTTGCCATGCTTGTCTGGAGTGAGATTTTTTAAGTTCTGTTTCAGGTTGGTCCTAGTGCCCCAAAATAATACACATTTCTTTGTTTTTCAGCGTCATGAAGTACAAGGGAAATTTCTCGTCAGAACCCATCTTTATGATCTGAGTGTATGAATATTCTGTGTGGGAAACAGCTATAAGATAATCTTCCCGAATTTTTCTAATGCCAAAGGTATAGTTCCTGAAGAGGGGATATAAGAGTGATGCGTATGTTACATTAAAATTATTTTGAATACACAAATCAGCAAGTCATGTGATAAACACAGCCGATATACAGTTGTTACTAACAGAGCCAATATAAAGCGTGTTTGTAAGAAAATTACAGTTTGACATTTCGACAATTTTTTGTCGTGACGAAGATTAATCTTTTTTTTTTGTTTGTTTTTTGCTTATGGTGCATACTTTTGCCTTCAAAACGTGCCACTGACCTTTGTGATGATGGATTCTCACCTGTTACAAGATGTCGCACTTTGAAAACCATCTCTGAAGTGAGACTTGTTGCAGGTCTCTTTTTAGTTGGCCTTAGTAACCTAAATTTATCCATATTTCTTTGATTTTTCAGCGCTTTAAATCTACAAGGGAAATTCTAAATCCCAGATCAGAACCTATCTTTGTGCTCTGAGTGTATGAATATTCAGATTCGGAAACGGCTATAACATAATCTTACCAATAATAATATTAGTAGTAGCATTAATTCTATATATTATTCAAATTCCATAGAAGTACGGGTTTACTGTGTTGAATGAAAGACAACTCAAAACACATGCATACATTGTAAAAATGTAGTTCTGATACATCCCGTTCCACAGCATTTTCATATCAGCTGTATTAACTAAATACATTTTTAATTGATAGTTTCTGAAGTGTTTATCCGTCATTGGCTGACGTACCCTAATGGTCAGCGTAACAATTCCTGAATATCAAGGTACGTGGTTCGAAAAATCGTGCTCTGCAATTTAGGGCCTCGGGGGCATTGTAAGAGTGACGTTAAAAAACCACTGTTTGATTAGAGTAGCCTAACAGTTGGTGGATGATGCTCTCAACTCACAGTCTTCTCTGTCTATCACTTCAAAATTAAAGATTGGACAGTGCAAATCTTGGTTGCTTTGCGTGAATATCCACAACAAACCGACATTCCTTCTTGATTGAAAAATCATTTCATTATAACTGCGTAGAGCTTTATTCTTTGTAAGGAAGATGTTGGAAATATTCGTTTTATTTATACATGTCTATTAAAATAGATTCTTTTTACTGTTATAGGTTTTGGAACTATTTCGTCAAAACAACAAACCTCCAATTATGTTGGATCAGTCAACTTCAGACGAAAAATACTGTTCCCAAAGTACGTTTTTTAAATATTGAATTTTCTGTAAATTCGATTATATGAAAAATAATCGTAATGATTTATGAAATTAAAATAAAAACGATGCTTATTATTTATACTGGTGTTTGGTCTGGACCCATCAAAACTTCAACGTCAAAATCGCTTTATAGATTGTTGGGTATGTTATATGTAAACGGATTTGAATATTCAAATTAGAATTTCACTGATAACCATTTTAACAGATATCTTGATATCTAAATAATAAATATATTAAATTTTATTTATCGAGAACAATTTCAATTAGTTTTGTAGCAATTGCGTATTTTAGTTTAAGATATCATTTTAGTGACTTTATTTTGAAACTTTACCAAATCAGGGGTGAGAGTTTTGCTACCACGTAGGAGATGTACACTTTTATCTACAAAAGTTAGTCCACATGTTGAACCTTCGGCCGCCTGTATCTTCATTGTGGTCTCACCACCTGGTCTTTGTTGTTCCCTTTCAACATGGAGAAGGACCTTTAGGTTAAAGGATTAATAAATATCATTACTTATTTAAAACTTAAATATTAGTAGAAATTCATTGTACTCAAAATTCAAACAGTTTGGCAAATTATCATAATAAATTATAAACAATAATAATAAATAGAGTATTCATGGTAACTTATTTATGGAGAGACAGCGGCAAGTCTTCGGACTTACAACGCTAAAATTAACATTGTTACCTTTTCATGGACATTATTTTAGTTTATTGTTTGGTGTCTTCATAAACAGACAGTTTGTGTTTCCTAAGTAAGATATATATATCATATTATTAATGTTATTATTTGCGAAGAATATAAAACTATAAGAATGAGGTTGCATTGGAGGAATTTTTCGAACATACAAGTCCCATTCCAAAGTACTAAAAATACATGTGCCATATTTTAATATTAAATATTTAGAGGCTTGGCTTCTAGGTCTCAAATAGACATGCAAATTCGTATACTAATTAGTTCAGTTTTCGCGTTTTATGTGTTGAACATTTATATTTCCGGGTTGAAAAATTAATTAGTATACTCCATAGCGCAAAAATAATGTACATCTTAACGACAATAATAAAAGGACTGAAATTTATAGGTATCAAATATGAATAGAATGAGCCCTGAAATGTAATACGGAGAAAGCAACATGCTAAACATACTGTGCGGTTGACTAATGGTTTAATTATTGAGGTTTGACATGTTCAAACACCACTACAGTGTCAAACACTTAAGTGAATCTGTCACACAAGATTATTATAAATCAAAAACACATAAAATACTGGGTCACTACATCGTTACTAGCTCTCGAAAACTTTCCAAGCATATAAATCAAAGAGGAAAACATTGAAATTAAACATCATTTGCTTTAGACTCTAATACTTTTTATTCACATAATTCGCAATACATACTACGTCTTTTCATAAGACAGTTATAATAATGATGTATCTCTGGTATTGTTCTTTAGAATTATGAAATTCTATTATTATACGAAAATATTACCGTCGATTCCTTACATTAAAAATTGTTCCTAAATATTAAGATACGATTTTCCAAAAAGAATTCTATAAAACAAATTGATCATTTAAAAATACCGTTACGTGAGGTATCTTCTCTAACTAGTCCACATAAGCTAGAAATATTATCTTTGTCTAGAATAATATAGATCATTTTACCTCGTTTCTTTGACAAGTTTCAACTATAAATTTCTGACTTCCAGCTACGACTTCTCCATCAGAACGAAAGTAGTACACTAAAATACGTATTTCAGGAGCGTAGTTATTGTTTTCATCTGGAGTAACGGTAATGTTCAATTTTCCAATGTTCGGTTTTTCTTCAAAGATCAGCTTTTCATTCCATTCTGGTAAACTTTCCTTAGAAATGAAGTCACTGGAGAGGGTATGTCTTATTTTACCCGTTCTTTGTACGCCACGACTGCTCACCACCTGTGTAGACCATGAATACATATGATGAAATGTTAATTGTTTTTGGTGATTAAACGTTTCTGTTAAACTAAGTTCACAACGCAGGTGTTTCAAAGAAAGAACTGTAACAAAATATATTTGAGTTTACGCTGAAATGTTTTAAAAACTACGGGTTTCATACAGAAGACTCTCCATTCCTTATCTTTAATGTTTTAATGACCTAGCCAGTTTGTACACAAGTTTGTTAAAACCTTCTAAAACCTACCAATAAGGTTTAAACATTGTAAAATAAAAGAAACTGATAATTGTTTCAACCAAACGATCTTTCAACAAAAATCAACAACATTTGGTCAAAAGTTGGCTGCTAATAGAATGCTTATAAGACTTTGAATCCATGGTTCTCTCCAAGTAGTAGCTACATTCAATTTGATCCCTGGTGGAGTCCTTTAAAGTGTGGAAACTCTGAAAACGTTACATTTATGTTCACAGCTCCTAAAGACGTAGGGGAAATTACGTTTAATTACCAGGTAAGTACATTGTTTGCAAATGTGTGTTTACCGAATGTTAAATCGTGATCGCATAGTTAAATATTGTAAGAGTGATACGAAATAATACGAAGCAATGCTTGACGAATTTTGCCTCTCTGTTTGATATTTTTCATTGGAAGGGACGTTACGAGCTATTAGTGCAAATGATCTTTGCAAATCCGAAACACTGACTACACACAAGCCCTAGTTGAATGGATTAATCAGATTCTTACGAAAAAACCGGTTTTAAAAACCTACATCCATAAGGTTCAAGTTTCGAGTTTGTTCGTATTTTGTCCAAATAAACTTCAATTTCTTTAATCCTTAGTGAATTACTAGGAGTTTTAATTAACTTTAAAAAATTAATCATTTTTTCCGAAAGGGGGCCGAAGGCCTCTTGGACGGGTTACATGCTTTAATCACTCGCATCATTATGCACTAGTCTGGTGTCTGTCAGTTAGTCAGCAGACACTAAAATAACGTAACATAAGGGAAGCTTAACATTGCAGTTTGTACTGTCGTGACGTCAATAAAACGTGCGCATGCCATGAATCATGAGGATAATTATGCACTCTGTTTATACCATAAAAATGCATATATAGCGCATAAAAAAATCAGTCTCCCCTAGTGGTAGAACAGCAAGTCTACGGACTTATATCGCTATAAATCAGGTTTTGGTATCCGTGGTGGACACAGCACAAGTAGCCCATTGTTTAGCTTTGTACATAACTACGAATAAATACAAAAATCAGTTGTATTCGTCCCACTGAATTAGGTAATAGAACAACGAGATTAAGTTTACTCTTCTAGAGATCTATCAGGTAGAAATTAAAGACGGCTAACGCTGATAAAATAAAAAAATCCAATGCTCAGAAGAATTCTAAATGTAGACGTGGTTGTGAATTAAACATATCGTGCCTTATTGAAAAAAAAAGTTTTACAAAACATTACTGAGTGCAATCCCTTTGAGCCCAATTGTACCATTTTACATCTACAAATTCTAATTATTTAGTTCCTACTTTTACAGTGTAGGTATTGCAGTGAAGGCTGCAGTTCGATCTGCCTAAATTTCGGCCTTAACTAATGAAAATACGGTGTATAACTTCATCTTATTTAGTTGGCTAATAATTGAAGTGCTCGACGTATGTCTTATTAGAACAATAAGAATTAACATATGTACTTTCTATGTTAATTACCCATGTTGTCTGATAAGACATATCCATCCTTATAGGCTAACGTGGTGGATGGACAACTAGCACAGATGGCCCTGTTTATTCAAAATAAACCAAAACAATTGTTTTCGTTGGATTTGTGCATAACAGTTCATTTTGGCTTTGTTCTGAACTAACTAATTAACTTGTTTTTGGCCTGGCATGGCCTGATGATTAGGGCACTCGACTAGAAATCTACGGGTCTCAGGTTCAAATCGTTTTCACCGAACATCTCTGCCCTTCCAGTGGTGGTGGCGTAGTAACGTGACGATAAATCCCAATATTCGTTGTGAAGGAGTAGCCCAAGAGTTGACTGTAGGTAGTATTGACTAGTTGACATCCATTTAGTCTATCAATGCTAAATTAACAGCTGGATCCACCGCAGTGAATTGAATCTAGGATTTTAGCATTGTAAGTCAGTAACTTTATCGCTGTCCCACCGGGGGACAACGAAAACAAACAAAATAATATATTAATGCACATGCCATTTCCAAACATACTTATTTATCACGCTAATGTAACAATTATAGCTGAAAAACTTGTGAATTAAAAGTTAACAAATTTCACATCTTGAAGCTCCAAATAATGACTTGAATTTAAAAAGTAGACAGATTTGATACATGTATTTTTAAATCAACAAATTCGAATGAAGAAATACGAAGTTACAATATTCCTGTAATTATTAAATTCAAATAGTTATTCATGTGTTTTTTTATGCTACTACATTCAAGTAAAACATCATAACTTTTGACTTCAAATATAAACTTACTTTAAGTTGAATTTTTGACGTTTGGTTTGAAACAGCAGGAAGAGCAAAATGAGCAAATCCATCCTTGTCTGTGGTATAGTTTTTACAGGCTGAACGAACCTCAACAGTTCTAGATCTGCCGAAAATATGGGCACAGAGTGACAGTGTAATGTCGGAAACTGGCTTACCATTTTGAGTTTTCGCTTCGGCCTGAATCATAAAAAAAGAGAGTATGTATTGGAAGCACTAGGAGTGGTTAGGGCATACACAACTAGAT